AGTAGAGCCGTCTGTGTGGAGTGAGCTGACTTGAAGCCGTGCTGACTCGTGTCGAGCATGTTATGTCGGCTGAGGTAGTCCATCAGCTGTGCGTGTGCAAGACGCTCAAGCACTTTTGAAATTTCGGGCAATAGAGAGATCGGGCGTGTGTCAGACGGCGTTGCAGGCAACGGCACCTTGGCAAGCGCGACGACGGACGCAGACTTCCAAGCAGTGGGGAACACGCCTAGCTCGAATGATAGGTTGAACACCCTCGCAATATGCGTGTACAGTGCTGGGGAGGCCAGACGCAGCACAGACGCAGAGACGCCGTCGGAGCCGCAGCTAGTGGACCTGCACTTGTTCATGGCCAGCTCAACATCCAGCGGCGTCACATGCTGGAAGCTAAATGTAGCAGTGCTGAGTCGGTCCGAGGCCGAAGCGAGTGAGGCAATCGCAGCATCCGCGTCAATCGCCGATGATGCCGAAGAAACTGAGGCGTAGTACCGACATAGCTGGTCCGGTGTGAAGAATTTCAGCGGAGAAGGCGTGCTGTGAGAGGCTATGCCGATACCACGCAGAGTCCTCCAGTAGTCCGCAGGCGAGCTCGCAGATGCCAGTCTGCCTGCGATGTACGCATTTTTGGCAGTGTCCAGTAGGTTTTTTACGGAGCGTCGAAGCTGCTTGTAGCGAGCATGAGCTGAAGCTGAGAGGTTGCGCAGGTATGTTCTGTACGCATCGTCTCGCGATCGCATGAGGTTCCGTAGCTCCTGCGTGACCCATGGCTTCACTCTAGCTCTCAACGTGGTCAATCTGAGCGGGGCAACGACGTCAAGTGCCTCGAGTATACCGTCTGTGACCTCAGTCACAAGCCGATCGAGCATCGCACAGTCACCCGCGGAAGGCGGGTTGATGCGTGAGAGACTCTCCAAGTTTATTTTATTATTTATTGATGATGCTACCGCTGTTGGAAACGTGGAAGGTGAGATCTTCGAAATGCTCCGTGTGCAGCGCGTCAAAGTCTCCGGTGGAGGTAAACGTGTACAGTATTTGAATCTTATGAAGTGGTGCCCGGCAGCAAAGGGCGCCGGGGACACAGCGAAGTCCTTAACCAGATCAGGCTGTTTCACTATTGCAAGGTCGATGCATGATGAATGGAGTGAGCCATCAGTGCTGTAGGTGACGTGGTGTGTATGTGTGTTGCTGAGTACGTGCAGGTTGTAAGGCGCAAGGCGCTTCTTCAGAGAGATGGCGTGTCTATCGGAGGGGTTCGCTACGTTGATGTTGAAGTCGCCGAGCACAATGACATCGTTGTAGTGGGGCAGCAGATCTGATAGGGTGTCGAGAAACACATGAGGGTAAGATGCAGTAGGGCGCCGGTATACGACAGCTATCAGTATTCTGCTGGTGCCTCGTGAGACGGCGTAGATAGCAAAGGCAGGTGTATTTGAGTANTTTTTTTACTTATAGCGAGCGAGGACGTTGTCGCCCTCATTTCTTGAAAAAAAGCACGCTTTGCTACGAAATTTTTCCGCATTTTAGGTTATTGTCGTCATAAAATTGTGAAAATCTTTTTAATTATCTCACATTGCAGTCTCATTGCTTATTACGTTAATTATTTCAGTGGTACGTTCAAATTTCTCGAATTCGGTAGTTTTTTTATCAGATATAAAATTCCCCTAGGCGTTGCCATGCAACCATATTAACTATCTCAAGCGAGCGAGCAAAGCGCCGGGGCCTGTTCACTCGCGAGAATTCGTTCGAAAAGGGGCTGATTTTCAATCATTGATTACTCTGGCTGTAATTAATATTTTTCAATTCTGACGACGGATTCGGAATCAGGGAGCCGAGACGAATGCTCTGGTGTTCGGTGTTCGGTGCTGACATATCTTTCTGAATGACGTTATGTAATAGTTGGTATTCCTTATTTATTTTGGACTATATGGTGGTATTCTACCGGTCCAAACAATGCAAATGTTTGCAGGATAGTTCAGTCGAGGTCCGCTTCGTGTAGGTAGGTTGGTATGGCACAAAATAGTCTGTTCGTAACATTGTTTGGTGGATTCAAAACGTTCTTCTTCACGTTCTTTCCGCAGAAAATGGCAAGGCTTATTGGATTTTCCTTGTGCAGGTGCGTAGGCAATAGTTACTACTTTTTTATGTGGGTTGGTTGGTTCTGCAGTAGTTTCCATATTTTTTATGTCTCCCAACTACATAATAGGTTCTATTAAAATATTTTGTGGGAAATCTTGGCTGGTGGTGAGAGTAATAGTTTGTAATTCTGTAGGTAGGTTCATGATCCTAAAAAAAATATATAGTACTCTACAATAATTAATGTTTTTATATTTATTAAGCTTCTTTCCTATTTATCGTTAATAAGTAGTAATAGGGGGACATGGAGAGACAGGCTCCCCCCACTCTACCTCCCTTTTAGGAGGGCTTATAGCGCGCTTGGCGCCAGCGCATGCACACACACACACACACACACACGCGCACGCACACCCACACACACACACACACACACACGCACACGCACACGCACACGCATGCACGCATGCACGCATGCACACACATGCACACGTACACACACGCACGCACACCCACACGGTGTAAAAAAAATCCGAAAAAAGTCGACCCGAGCTGGGATTCGAACTCGGATCGCCCGGGTGGTAGGCAAGTGCCTTAGCCACAACACCACTCAACAGATGTTACCCCCGAAGGCCTGAGCAGCTTTACAATCGTGTGCATGCGTGCATGCGTGCGTGCGTAAGCACTCACGCACACGCGTGCGCACGAAAACGTACATTCACATGCACACATATGTCGAGAGCAGTGTAAAAATTTTGTGTGAGAAAAGTTCGTCCCGGCGAGATCTGTTTTATCGATTGCCGAACCTAGTTATCGATCATAGAACTATATCTATCTTACGAGCAGAGTGATTATTATTTGTATAAATAAGGGTATTTTGGTTCGTTTAACGTCAAACGCATTTGTACGACGGTGGAGCATACCTCGTATCAATTAACATCGACTAGAGCCTAATTTAATAATGGGAAATAAGCAGTCGATCAGTTTTAATCCAACAAACAACACGATCAGAGGTACGAAAGAAGAGCGAACTTGTCTCTTGGAGCCTTCGCGATTAAAGTATAGCGGAGAAAAAAGCGCTACTCGTGAAAAGACGAAGCTCCCTCAGGAAACGTCGAATATTAAATATACGAAAACTGTATTTACCGTTGAACATAATCTAGCCCATATCGATAAGCAGCGCTGAGAGATTCATTATGGGTAATAATCAATCGACTAATTGTAAATCGAACGGTTCTACGAATCACGGATTCGTTTATGACTCACCACCGCGTCGAGGCGATAGCCAGCGAGCCTCGACAAGCAAGCAAGTGTGGAGCTATAAAAATGACTCGAAAGAATGTGATAACTTTGTAGCTCAAAGAGTCGCGAAGCACGCGGCGATGAAGGAAGTGTGGAAAACTACGAATATGACTGAAAATTGGAAAGAAATCGCTGCAAAAGAGACAGCCAGAAAGGAAGATATGAAAGTACGAAGCTATTTTTTTACCGTACGCCCCCTCGTGTGTTGGAGATAATAAGGAGAAAATGACAAGTTTTAAAAAAAATTAGAGTGATTTTACTGTACGAAATCAAAAAATAACTGAATAAAGATTGATATTAATTTTTAAAAATTTACTCGAGTTTTTTATTTTTATAGGATGAGGGTTTTACTATAATTAGGGTATGGTTAAATAAAATAACAAATTTGATCTTGAAAAATTCATGATTATATTCTGAAAAAACATTATTTCATATTTACATTTTTACAATACTCCACTGGCCTGTAATTGTCTTTTGCGCAGTTCACATTTTTCGAGCACACTATGCATTAAATGTTCCACTCCAAAGGCGCTAATCTCCTGTAGGAAAACCTCGACTGCACGCTCCATTCCGACGGGTATATCGTCGTCGTTGAAAAATTTAAACATTATAGCTGAATTAGCTGAAGGCATATGCTGTTTGTAAAATGCCTTGAACTCTAAAAAACCCTTCAAAATAGGGAGCTGCTCATCGGAAGGCTGGACGATTATCTTTCCATAATAATACGTAGCTAACCAATGAAGCATACGCGTATAATATTGGGCCAAACGCTCTAATACATCGAAGCGTTTGTCAATAGCGTTTATTACAAGTTGTAAACCCCTGACCGTTTGCGATTGCAAAACGACGAGCTGCAGCCTTGGCGGAGGTGCGATAACGCCAAAATATTTCAATAGTTTTGCCTCGTCGCTACCTTCTCCCATGCTCTTCCAGGTGCAAAGCGAGTTTCTTATATCCTCCTTACCCGACGCTTTTTCAATTTCTTCTGTATTAAATTGAGGCTCTATATCGCGGAACGGCCCGCACTCGTCCCTGCTTTCCAAGACAGCGCGTTTTTTGATATTAGAGCCTTCGTTATTCGACTCGTTCAACATAGGAGATTTGCGTTCTGAAATAATTTAAAACTAATTAATTTTAAATTTTTTTAACAAAATAACAAAATAAAATTCGAAACATACTTAATCCGTCGGATGACGAGCCAGCCCTCGCAGGAGCATCAACCTGCATCGCGCCAGAGAGCCATGTTCATATTTCGGAATGATAAATATTCGGAATCGTAAATATTCGGAATATTTAAAATTCGGAATGTTTGAAAATCGGAATTTTGAAGACGGAACATGAAAAATTCGGCAAAACAAAATTTCGGAATAAAAAAATTTCGGAATGAAAAAAATTCGGAAAAATTAAAATTCGGAATCCACAAAATTGTTAGTGGAGAACGTAGACTATAAAATTTCCCATTAAAAATTTTGTGGATTCCGAATTTTAATTTTTCCGAATTTTTTTCATTCTGAAATTTTTTTATTCCGAAATTTTGTTTTTCCGAATTTTTCATATTCCGTTTTCAAAATTCCGATTTTCAAACATTCCGAATTTTAAATATTCCGAATATTTACGATTCCGAATATTTATCATTCCGAAATCTGAACATGGCTCGCGCCAGAATCAGACCCGCGCGTAGTAGTATCGGGAGAGAGTATTTCGGCGCTCGTATCTCTTCTTTCGGCTGATGACGGAGACGAAAGCTCGGTGATTTTTTCAGAAACTCCTTCCGTCTCCTTTCTCTCTATTGAGATAACGATAATATTTGTAATATCGAACAGGTGCTGTAGAAAAAACGATGAGAAATTTACTTACGCTCGGTACTTTCCGGCAGGGGCGGCGCTTGCTCGGCGGCGGCGGCTGCTTCAGCTTCCTTTGCAGCAAGCATCCTCTTGTATTTTGCAGGTAGAGGGTCGAATACCTTCCTCGTAAACTGCACCGATTTTATGTTGTGCATAACGGTAAAATCGATCGAGTAGCCCTCTATCTCGATTCTATCGGGAGCGTATATTTCAGGCGCTTCATCAAAATGCCCGTAGGTGTACCCCATTACTTTGTGCATATTGTCACGAATCATTCGCCAGCCGACGCTATTTAGCACTATACCACTGTACATATGTTCCGACTTTGATATCTGCACAGCGGGTCTGTATTGCCCGCCGTAAAATTCTAGGCCTACCGTAGCGTACTTTGAGCACGAGTTGTTCAAAGGGTAAGTCGTTGATTGAAGGAGATAGCACTGTTTTTCTTCACTCGACTTTTTGGCAGCCATCGCGGATCAAGGAGGTATATTTCTTTTACGAACGAGAAGTAAGCACGCACTCGCTAGTGTGAGGATTAAATCGCAACTGAGCAACTAACGCCTCGGATAGGAAATATATACGAGGGATTACAGCATCCCTACCCTGGACATTCTGCTCGGAACAATGAAGTGCGAATCATATTTCGTTAAAATACGGCAGTTCATATTTGTAAATAAAAAAAGGGTAAACAGCATCCGCTGACCTCGTGACATAAAAATGTAATACTCGAGCTTTCGGAATAGCTGTAAAAATTATTACGTGTCAGATGTGTCAGGCGAAATTCAGCTCGTCTTACGGCTATGAACGCGATAAAGAAATGATCGAGTAACAGTCTCGAGTCCGGGCACGTAATTTTGCTTTGTTTTACTTTCCATTGAATTCCATTAAATAAATCTAACGAGATGCGCGAGAGTTTAGATCGGGGTATTCCGGGAATATTTTTATGCTTGGGCTTATCGTAAATACGACACTGAGTAATAATAGACTCGAGGCGAAGAGTGGCTCGTCGCTCGAAAATACAGGACCGTATTATACACGATATGTAAACGTAATATACTTCGGGGGAGCGGATATCGGTAGCGTAAATATGATTCGGTAATATTCATATAAGCGTCCGCTGTTTCAGCAAGCACGGAGATGATTAGCGCGAATAATGTCACCCTAGCGATACCGGGAAATATCGGGAGCGCGCAACGCGTCTAATTTGATATTACTCGCGACGATATAAAATACGACTACAGCAGTGTGAATCGGCGTCGATGCGATGTATTTTTAAATATTTTTATTTCTTGCGTTCGGCGGGCGAAGCTTCGTACAGGCATACTCTCCTGCTACATTGAGAGTATGTAGAGAGCTAATACTCCTTATGGATACTGCTGCGAGCTCCTGTTCTCCTTGCATGATTTCTTACCAGTAGGAGCGATAAGTCGACGATTATGTTCTTAAAAATTTAGTAGATATCGGGAAGGGTTTGAAGAATGAAAAAAATTTGTATTTGATGTCGATAAGTTTTATTGAAGAAAAAATTCATTGCTTTTTGCAACATTTATAAAAATTACATTTTCGGTTTACAAATTTGAATGCCGTATCCGATGTTATTTTCATTCGGAAATATTTTTACATTTTGCCTTTTTTTCGTCGCACTTATTAAACCAGTATAAAATTTCCGCACAATGTTATCGTTTCTACGAGTATCAGCGGTAAAATAATCAAGAAATGAGTTTAAATCGTTATTTTTACTCATGTGATAGAGAAAAAAAATACAGTATTCGCCGCATACAGCAGAGTCAAAGCTTTGAAGTCTCGTATGATTATATTTGATTTTACTACAAATGCGTCGTATGCGCTCTTTATGGTGTGCATTGCTAGGGGGCTGACCAAAGGAGTCGAAATATACCCCTGATGCGAATTTATCTATGTATAACCCGACCCAGTGCGAGCCGGGTTGGTCGGATTTATCGCAATTCATGACCAGGCACGCGGGTAGCGATACATTACGAGGTACTCTATCAGCGGCAAACACACCCACAGATTTTCCGTTTACTCCGCGCAAGGCATACTCGATCTCTCGCATATTCATTCTTTCATACATTCACTGGCGATTACTGGCTGTATTTTAGTCAACGATGGCTCTTTTATTGGGGAAATAACGAGTCGTAAGAAGGTGGTGCCGCACTCTGGGAGTAGATATTATTAGCGCCGTCGTCGACGGTGTCGAGGTCCTCGGCGTCACTGTCCTCCTCGTACTCGTCGCCCTCTGCGTTTTCCCTGAGATAACGCGCGAGTGCCCGGGAGATCGTCTCGCTGTCAGGTGCATCGCGCGAATCATTATAATCGCGAGCGACTTTTAAAACCCACTTTTTATACAAGCGGCAGTTATTTAACGCGCACTGATATTCACGATGAATCTTTGTTTCACTTTTGAGCATATGGTGTAGGCACGCAGTCTTGAACTCGAATTCATGGGTCAAGTCCGATGAGGATGGACACCTGTAGCTGCACAAATTAATCACGTTTCTGCCCAAAGTCCACTCTAGAAATTCTACTTTTGCTTTTGAGTCAACGTATGTATAAATGTTATTCGCAGATAACATGATATTTTTAATTTCACTGCACAATTCATCGCCGGCAACGCTACCCTCCGACCAGCGTATTCCGTGAACTTTGCGCGAATAAAAATCGATGCACTTTTTAACGCTCGACTCGTACGTGTGGTAGTGGTTAGGTGGAGCTATCACCCAGCTTGATGCAGAATGGCGCATCAGCGAGACTATGGCGATTTCTTTTGGTAAAAATTCAAATTCTGGACAAATGTAACCCTGCATGTCAATTATGTAATCCATTTTAAGACTTTTTCGCGCAGCTGACCTGATTTACAGCAGACGTGATGAACGAATGTCGCGACTCGTGCAGCGAGCACGATATTTACGCGGCAGCCAGCAAAATTTGTTTTGAATAAGTAGCAAATCACGAAGTAGAGGCGGACTCGAGGCGACGAAAAAGCACAGCCTCGCGTGTCGTATTACAACGCACGCTCGCTCGCACGTTTTCAAGTTGTAAAGTCTGTTACGATCGCGCGATTCGCATCTATCTCGATGACGTTATCATATTCGAGAAACGATATACAGTTTACAGTAGCAGCAAGAGCGGTTTCAAAACCTAATTCCAAGCGCAACGAGCCGGTGCGTACTAAATTCCAATGAGTGCATAGATTAGCCGAAAAATCTGGCGTCAGATCGAAAGCGAGTAAAAAATGCCCCGAGGGATATATCGATCGGTCGATACCGTTTCCCTCGTTTTGATAATGTATACCGGTGCCCGTGAACAATGTTTGAAAAGCTTCGATGTACAGGGGAGAAGCATCGAAACGCGGCTGCAAGGCTTTGCTCGGCACTTGAACGCCGTCAACATACAGAGTCAGATAATTCAAATTAAAATGCTGGAAATTAAACGGATTGTAGGCTCGATTTCCGTTAAACCCACGATTGTCCACTAGCCCTATGATGACCCTCTTCGGTGTTTGACCCAATGTTAGATTGTCTATTGTGGTATTCAATATACCCGCGGGTAGTGTAAACGATTTTATTTCCACTCTCGTTAAAGGCATTTTTACGGTGCTGCGAGCCAATGCGTTTGCGTGAGCAAGTAAAACACTCGGCGATATTTTGGCGCGCCTCACGATGAGAGTGGCCTCTTCGATGCTGACTTTAAATCTACCATTTGCCGTCGAATCCATTAAGCAAAACGCATCTTTGCTTCTTACCATACGCACGCGCATTTCAACGCCGTTTATTAACATTTTATCCTGATTAACCCATTAACGCGCAAAAGTGCAATTTTGTGCATGAATTTTCCGTTGTAAAAAAATTATAGATAAACTTAAAATATTTTCTTGAAAATCCATACCCAGGGGTTTTTTGGTATGCTCTTTCAGTGTCCGGTGTTATTTTTGCGATAAATAAACATTATCATCGTTTATTTTGCCATTAAAAACAAAAAACGTGATTTTTTGNCCAGTGATTTATAAATCCTCTTTCTTCTTGTAGCTCCATAGTAATTCTATAATTGTGGAGGCAGACAGTGGAAAAAATTATATCTTCACTTGTATCCAAGTTCCATCGTAGGTTCTGCTGATGAATTGCCCAAGTGTTATTCAATAATCCAAAAGCACACTCCACAGTCTGCCTAATATGACTCAATCTTTTATTGAAGATTTGCATATTTGGTGTCATATTGTGTACTTGCATGTATGGCTTCAGCAAGTAGTGCTTTAGGGGAAAACCTCCGTCACCAATTAAAAAGAATGGTGAGAAGACATTGGAGCCTGGAATAATTTCTGGTTCAGGTAGAGATATTCTACCATTTTCCAGCCCTTCACAAATGTCACTATTATTGAAAGTGAAAGCATCATTTAAAGAACCTGCAAAAAAGGTTTTTGTTTTAAACCATGTAAGTATCAATATGTTTGAAAAATTAATGTTTTTTTACCGTATCCTCCCAAATTTATCATGAGAAACCTCTTGTTGTAATCGCATATGGCTAACAAATTGATGCTGAAGAATTTTTTGTAATTGTAATAAGCACTACCTGAGTGCTTGGGTTTTCTTATATGGCAGTGCTTTCCATCCAACACGCCAACGCAATGGGGAAAGTCTAGAGCTTCAAATTCATATGCTACTCTTCTTAGATCTGCAACTGATGGTTTACGCAAATACCTGGGACTTAGGACAGTACCAATGATTTTGCACACTTCTGGTATGATTTTATACATTGTTGATTTTCCAATAGAGTAGAACGTTGCATTTTTGTATATGGTGTCACCCTTGGCGAGATAACTGTTATAAAACAATATTTGTTTAATATAAATTGCATGTTAAATACATGTTCATTATGAATTTATTTATTATGCTTACTTTAACACAGCTGCAAATCGGAGTTGAGGTGGTAGAGGAGGTCGGTTACTCATTTTAATTAAATACGGATGCACCATATCGTAAACAAAGTTGAACTGATGAATTGTAAAATTGGTAAACGAGTAAAATTCCTCCTCGTCACTCATTTTAAAGTAGCAAAAGACGCTCCTATAACCACCATAACCACTTAAGTAATTATGAAGAATGTGTGGCTTTGCCCACCAACGTCTGGCTTTTTCCCTCACTTCATTTATTTCTATCACATTTCTATAAAGGTTCCAAACACGGAATAAATTGTTTATATTTTCTCCTGCTATCACTTCCATATTATTGTTTTGATGTTTTTGTCACGCAGATCTGCTCCGAAATTAATTTGAAGACTGAACGGCGCCACATGAACAAGACCGAAAATTGTGAGGTTAAAATTCGATAGAAGGAATATTTATTATTCAAAGTTGGCACTATCCGTCCGATGCGTCCGAACGGGGTCCGAAACTCAGTTAAAAATCTTATGTAGAACCGCCCTTAATTTTTCGCTCGCCTTCTTGGTTAGCTTCCGCGCAGACTCTCTCGAGCGCACGCGAACGGAATCGCGCAGCGACATATCACCTCGCGATACATCGCTTAAAATTTGAACACCCGCTCTTCCGGCCTCTCTCCCTACCGCTTTTACGCCGCTACGAACATAAGGTAATATCGTACGAAATAGGCCGCCTAACCACGCCCCCACACCGCGTCCACGCTGCCTCGGTGCACCGACGTATTTATTACGAATGCCCCCGCCTACTTGCTCGTTGTAGTAATGTAGATACATCGACATGATTAGCGGTTATTTTTAAAGTGTAACGTACAGATCAGAGAGCCAAGAGCGAATGGCGGATTCACTCCATCGCTCGTCCTAATATCGATAGATATCGTTTGAAAATTTCTATGCAAAACCGGTACGTAATGCGCTGGCGCGAAATATCGAACGATGCTATGCCCGAACGAGGTTTTAGAGCTATCCAGCGTGACTATGCGCAAAAGAGAAGATTGGGTATCGCCGAGAAAGGTGGGTAGACAGACGTCGCAATAGACGTACAGCTGATCGTTTAAAGGTAGCACGAGCGATGCAGGGCGAGTCGCCTCGATGACGCGATTGCTCGTAGGCGTTAAAATCATGCGGGGCGTTCGTTCAAAACCTAAAACGTCCAGTATTTTGTCGTGAAAAATTATTTCGTGATCTCTCGTACACGAGCATAGGCGCTCGATGCAGTAATAGCCCGAGCGGATCAGCGATGGCGCAATTTCGAGATGCTCTGAAAAATCCGGTGAATCGTTTATGGACTTTATCAAATCTTCGATGCTGTTAAAGTTACCGGACTTGAAACGGTGTAAAACGTTATCCCTTGAATTATCGAATGAATAGGCCGCCTCTGCGTCACTGACGTGCTCGATTGTATTTGTCAGATGAATTTCTACAAGGGCGACAGACCAGTCGTCGCCGCTCAATCTAATTTCTTTCGGCAGGTGCGTTGTAAAATGCGATATGGCGTTATCGGGGAAATAGGCCATGCTGCTATTGCTGGGTAATATCAGGTAAAAATCGTCGAAGGTCTCCATTGTTTATACGCTCGTTAACTCGGAATATTTAATCCACTGATTGAAAGAGTCTGGATAGCCGCTCCACTTGACGTAGGCTTGTTTGCGCGCCCCGCTACCCCTCGTGCGAATGACTTTTTCGATTTTGAATCGTTCGCCCGTAAGGCGTTCGTCGCTCACGGGGGCTAATTCCTCGCCGTAGAAAAAACCGTCGATTTCTTCGTTGTTTAAATCCTCGAGGACGTACGTGTAGATTTCCTGGCGAAGGGTTACGCGCTTGATTCGGAATATCTCCTCCGTAAAATTACTCGTGTATCCTTTCTCGAACGTGGCTTTATAACGACTGATCCTCACGTGAGTGCCTACGTTGTACTTTGGTTTTTTCGGCTTTTTTTTACGATTGGCGCTCTGCTGTTTCGAACGTTTTAGCAAATTTTCACGTATGAACGGTACGTCGTCGAGCGTGACCTCGCTCGAGCGCATTTTAGTCGAGCTATGCACGGAATTGTTATACGCCGTTACTATATCGCGAATAACGTCTATGTATCTCTTGGAATTCGAGTACGTCAAATATCTCCAAATACGCTCGCGTAACGTGCGATTCAATCTCTCCACCACCGCGGCCTTGACATCGGGATTTCTAACGAATCTAAACTTTATACCTCTCTCTTTCAAATATTTTTGAAACGCTTCACCGCGAAACTCCGATCCTTTATCCGATTGAAGCAGCTGTGGAGATCTTTTATCGGCTAAAATTTTTTTGAACGCCTGCAAGACAGTGGCGACGCTTCTAAAGGTTCTACCCACGCGTACTTGCTGAGCACTTCTACGACGACAAGCAAGTAGCAATAGCCGTCATTGTCCTTTTTAATCGTTGTGAGCTGCATCAAATCGCACTCCCAGACGTCGTCGATATTGGTGACGTCGTAGCGCAGGCGTGGAAATTTTCGTCTTGCCGGCCTGTGCAGCGTATACGCGTCTTGAGCATCGAGCCAGCGTAAAATTTTCTCGCGCGATTTTTCGTCGAGAGGCTGATCTTTAGCGTTAACTTTTAAAAGTCGGCGTGCGCCTGCGAAGCCCGCCTCGTGGGATGGGTCGTAATACTGCTTTTCCAACTCCATGATTATTAAGCGATCTTCAACCACCTCGAGCCACCGTTCTGCTGCCTGGCACGCCTTATGGGGCGGAAGTAATATCCGGGTTGTTCATCGCGATCGGGTGGTACGCGAGGAACTTTCGATAGAACTGCGTCGTCGCGGGGCGATGCCTTGCTTTTATTTCCTGCTACGCGCGGCACCGGCTGTGATTTATTTCTGGGTGGTTCAAATACCTGCGCCATGAACGGATTTTTNTACTATATCGCGAATAACGTCTATGTATCTCTTGGAATTCGAGTACGTCAAATATCTCCAAATACGCTCGCGTAACGTGCGATTCAATCTCTCCACCACCGCGGCCTTGACATCGGGATTTCTAACGAATCTAAACTTTATACCTCTCTCTTTCAAATATTTTTGAAACGCTTCACCGCGAAACTCCGATCCTTTATCCGATTGAAGCAGCTGCGGAGATCTTTTATCGGCTAAAATTTTTTTGAACGCCTGCAAGACAGTGGCGACGCTTTTGTCGCGTAAAGGTTCTACCCACGCGTACTTGCTGAGCACGTCTACGACGACCAGCAGGTAACAATAACCATCGTTGTCCTTTTTAATCGTTCTGAGCTGCATCAAATCGCACTCCCAGACGTCGTCGATATTGGTGACGTCGTAGCGCAGGCGTGGAAATTTTCGTCTTGCCGGCCTGTGCAGCGTATACGCGTCTTGAGCATCGAGCCAGCGTAAAATTTTCTCGCGCGATTTTTCGTCGAGAGGCTGATCTTTAGCGTTAACCTTTAAAAGCCGGCGCGCACCTGCGAAGCCCGCCTCGTGGGATGGGTCGTAATACTGCTTTTCCAACTCCATGATTATTAAGCGATCTTCAACCACCTCGAGCCACCGTTCTGCTGCCTGGCACGCCTCATGGGACGGAAGTAATATCCGGGTTGTTCTTCGGGATCGGGTGGTACGCGAGGAACTTTCGATAGAACTGCGTCGTCGCGGGGCGATGCCTTGCTTTTATTTCCTGCTACGCGCGGCACGGGCTGTGATTTATTTCTGGGTGGTTCAAATACCTGCGCCATGAACGGATTTTTTATCAATTTTAGCGGGGCTTCTGTTTCTTTTAGCAGTCGCGTTATCTCAAATTGACCCGCCGGTGACGAGGGTTCGAGAAACGCGTTGGCCGATTTTTTTAGCACGCTCCGCAACAAATCCGCGATGCTCGAATTATTTATCACGTTGTTGTCGATCTTGACGACGCCCGCGTTATCCCACTTGATTCTATTCGTGGACGCCAAATGATTCAACAATAAATTTGCGTCGCGTCTATGCTCCTTGGGTAGAGAGGAGATGATTTCCGACACAGGCATGGGCTTCGCGAGCTTCGCGGCTGTCTCGCTATCGACGGCCTCGTCGTCGTCGTCGTCGTCGTCGTCGTCGCCCATTCGTTCTTTACGAGTGAAAAACAAGTAGCGCCGAAGCGTTTGCAAGTAATTTTTGCATTTTTCGTAATCGTCGGTGTAGCGATTCGAATTCATGATCTTGTAAAGCGAAGCGTCGAGTCTCGAGAGATTATCGCCGACCGTCTGCATGCTGCCCTCGGTGGATGCCTCGACCTTGGACGCCCGTAAGCGATCGTACGTGTCCTCGGGTAGCACGATCATCTTTTTGCCGCGCTCCATGCTGTTTAATTGCCGGGTTTGATCAAACGGGTGATTAAAGCGGCTAGAACAGGTGCAATCAACGCGGGGAGGAAAGCGCCACCGCTCTGCAGTATCACGCGTTTCTTCTTACTCCAGCGTTTCTTTTCACCGGCCTTCAGAGTCACCAGCTTACGCAGTATCGATTTGTGTTTGCGCAGTCTGTTTTTATTTTTTATAGGTACGTTTCCGCGGAGAACGTTCAGCGTGCACTCGCAAATGCAACGAACGAACGACTCGTCCGCGTTTTTTAGCAAAGCGAGACGCTGTTTCGAGTCGCTGTGGACGAGAGCTGTCAATAGAGCCGCGTGTCTTTTAGTAACACAGGGAGCGCACGATGCTCGCTTGGACATTTTTTATTCCATACTGACGCCTCGTCTCGATGCGCGTTTCATTTATACGCTACTCGAGATCTTGGTTTTCTTTGAAACGTACGCGTAATTCTTTTCGTCATCGGGAAAAATACACGAGCGAAATCTTAGCTCGTCCGGCGTAGACTGCGTGAGATCGAGAAACAGATAAGAATGCGGTAGTCGCGTTGCGTCGGTGAACGCTTCGACGAGGAATTTCGGATCCTCGGGAAAGACCTGCTGTGACAAATGACGTATTTGAGCCCTGTCGCGCGGATTTTTAAATAGCACGATGTACTTTGTGTTCAGACTTATATCGCGCTGGCCTTTTCCCTGATGAAAAATGTTTTGCGTCAAGAAGATCACGCTCAGATTTTTGTGATGGCTACCTTTGGTGAATAAATCAAGTACGTCGGCGTTCGAAGATTCGCGCATGAGATCGTCGAGAATTATCAATTTTTTCTTCTCGTTATCGCGCGAATAATCGTCGGGTTGGGGTAAACCTTCGCGAAATTCAACGGGTATGCCTCCGGCGCTGGTACGGTAGCCGTCTTGCCATTCGCCGTAATAAAATAATATTCTGTCGAATCGCGCGTTGCACATCTTATCGATGTGTTTAAGAAATCGAGCGACAAAAACCGATTTTCCGCTGCCCGAAGGCCCACAGACGCAGCACGTAAACGGATGCTGGAGCTGCATGGTCGCGCGCCCGAGTAAAACTGAAACAAGATCGCGCGTAGAGCGATCGCGGAGGTTCTCATTCGAATAGCAGCGAACGTCAACTCGAGCTCGAATCTCAAGTAGCGGCGTATCGTTTTTCGACACGCTCTTTCTTTCTGGTATCTCCCCACGGCGGCTCGCGACGGGACTCGCGGCTCTCCCCACGGCGGCTCGGGGTGGACGGCGGAACGCGCGCTCCCCACGGCGGGTCGCGGCGGACGGGGCTCGCGGCGGACGGTGGAACGCGCTCTCCCCACGGCGGCACGGGGGCGGACGGGCCTCGCGGCGGACGGAGGGTGAAAGCAAAAAACGCTAAAAATAATGAAAAAAAATTTTTTTTATTGATACACAAAATGACATAGATGGGTCGTACAATAAAATATCTTTATCGCTAAACGCAATTACATAGTCGGCGAGTCTTTATCGTACAAAGCCAAAGGGTAGCGAAAACTCGCTACCGATGTATCGTCGCTTTTTCAGAACGGGGCAGCATCGCTTGCTCTCGTCTCCGGATACAACATCTTGAGTCTTTGTCCGTCTCATAGCTCTAAAATTCACGGTCATGCTGTTGTCGGCGCAATCATCCTCGTCGTCGTACATCCTCAAAATCATTCGTTTAACGCTGTCGTAATTAATTTTTTTGGAATTTTCATGATTGAGACTGATTCCTTTAATTTTGCAACATCGATGAAGTTCGCCCGTGTGCGGGGTAACGGCCTTGTACGCGTAAAATTTCGGCCCACCTGAAACGAACGATCTGATGTACGTATCTTTCCCGTACGAATCGAGCTCGTCGGTCATGGCTCCAAGAGCCGTGCCAAGGGGAGGCTCGTATTCGCCCGTTGCAGAGGTATAAATTACGGAGTCCGTATCGCAGTACAGAACGCGCCTATCCAATTTTTCCAAATATTGATAAAGAATCAAACGAGCCTCGGCGGTGGTATAAGCCGCTAATACGACATTGGTATAGCAGGTCGCGTTTTCGGCCTCTTCCTTGTACTTCCACCGCGCGTATATCGTTTCGTCCGAAACTAAGACGATATCGTGCGTCTCTTTGTCCGGGCTCGTTAATAGCTCGAGCAAATCTTTGCGAGTCTTTATGATGCTCGTCTGGAAAAGCGTGGAGCGCTGGGAAAACTTGCCCCAGAACGAATTAAGGGCTAATTTTGAGAAGGCACGAAGGGCGGCATTTTTTTCGATCTTATCAGGGTCCAGAGAAATATTTTCAGCAGCCTTGTACTCGGAAATATATCGAATTTTGTCGTTTTCGCTCTCGCACCACGCGGGCCAGCCACTCGCCTCTTGTTTAAATTTTAAAAACGTATCGATGTACTCTGTAAAAAGGCCCTTTGAATTTTTACTTTCATCGTATTGAATAATTTCGTACTGCCATACAACGTACAAGTTCAAAATTTTGTAACCCTTTTGAATGGCCTTACGCAATTCATCGGCGACCCAAGTACCTACAAATGCGCGATCTTCTACGTCTTCGTGAGGACAGTCGCCCTTTATCGACTCGGCGCAGCAGCTTCTGCAGAGCGAAAACATGAGGCGCGAATTCATTTTGACCGGTATGACGGGCATGTACAAATCTCGGGGAGAGAGAATTTTACACTTTACGAGCCCTTCGACGTTCGACAGATTATTCGCGTCGTCGCCCGTTAATTGTGCGCATTCTTCGCCCACGTATATCGTGGGGTGCCCACGGGGGTATTTACCGTATTTGCATACGTACGGATAGAGAGAGCAAACGTCTATGTATCTTATCTTTTCGCCCGGCTTGACGTCGTAATGAGTTACAAAATTCTCGGTTCTACCACCGAAAAAAGCATCGCGCGGATCTATCTTTATTTTGGAAATAAGGGGATGCTTGTTAATGATCTCCGCGACACCAGAGACGTTTTGCTTAATTTTTTCATATTCGCATTCCCAAATTGAGCGCACCGTGTAACCGAGCGATTTTAAGCGCTCGATTTTGACTTTTGTCCGCTCGTAAGATTCGTTGAGCGTGCGATTACCGAACATGACTCTGTCGCGGCCGGTCGGATAACATTTTAAGCACGCGTGCTAAAAACAGCCTTGAAACTCGAAGACGATGCCTCTAGGGTTGTCGTCGGACGGACCTAGATATCCATCCACCCGATATCCCTCTATAAGACAGTATTCGCGCGAACGCCCCGCATGGATGATTTCGCGCCCGAGCTCGTGTTCGCAAAGAAGCAACCATTCGATAGCGATCTGCGAGTGCGTATCGCTACGTCTGTACCCGTTGGAGGGGATCAGAGCTACTGTGTTTTCTTTTAAAAATTTTTTTCTAAACATGTAAGAGCAGGCCGAAGCAATCGTTGTGGCTTGCACGAACGGATCGACTTCCGCGAGATCGATCATTATTTTACGAAATTCCAGACAGGCTCGCCGCAATATTTCCACGTCCATCCGACAGTATTCGATTTCTTCTCTACGTATATCAAAAATCTGCGTGCGGGCTGTTTCGTACCAAGCGAAAAACTTTTCTCTCTCGCTAGTCGTCATTGTATCGGACCCGTAGAACGAGGGTGCAGGCATCGGACCTATGTATTCTTTATTTTCCAGGGTATTGAAGAAGTGCGGAAAATAACCTTTTTTACTGCTTTTCGGCAGCCCAAAGGCACGAGGTAGAGCCGATAATTTCATGTGAAAGTAATTCAAGCTATCGATAAACACGGTGCGCCCGCACTGTAACAAAATTATATTACGACCGTTCAAAATAACATTCGGCGCTCGTTTTAAATTTGATTGCTCTACTAGACGCCTAAAAACCATCTGTGTATCGTAACGACTTCCATTGTGCGAAACGCACAAGATTTTTTTAAATTTTGTCTTCTCCCGTATAGCGATATCCAGTAGCTCACCAACCGGATCGATTTTAAAGACGTACTCGCGAATACCGCAAGTGCCGCATACGTTTTTCATATCGTCATCTTGCATGCATTCCGTGCAGACTTGATGAGCCACGCACAAAGTGGGGATATGCTCTGTCGTAGAGGCGTGGTTTTTGTACGCGGAATCTTGACGAGTCTTGAAATCGAAGAAAATATACATGTATTTAGGATTGCCTTGCGCGGACTCCTTTATCGGTTGCATAAAACACAATTCGTTCAGACTATGTTTCGTTCTGCAGTGCTCGCAGTAATGAAGACCGCACTCGTGCAAGCCACGTTGAGTATTTATAACTGCGAAACATTTTTGGCAGATTTTAACGAGCTCGCACAACGAATATTTACTACCTTTCGCCTTGCCCGTATATTTGGCCAGACAATTTGCACCGTAAAACCCGCGATAGCCTTTATCGCATAATATTTTTTCAGCGGTTGAATCGCATTTTCCTTGTTGGAAGCACGCGTCGCAAATTTTATCGCAAACATGTGAATTTATATTCCTATAGCGAACGTTACAAAAGGTGCAAAAATACGGATCTTTCACTACCCCAACAGGATTAATAATAGCGTCGAAATGTTTCTTGCGACCGTCGTACAAGAGATATATTATCTTATCGTTGGTCGATTTTCTTCCGTCGAAAAATGCCTCAGCCCCCTGACCGTAAGTAATTTTTTCGTAAGCCACGATACTAATTTGCTTCTCGTCGTAATGTCGTTGAAATTTTACGAGTTCTTCGTAAACGCCTCCGCGCCCGGCTATGGTAACGCCGGCGTCTCGCATAAGCTGCAAGGCTAAATCGCGTTGTAGACTACGGCGCGCATCTCGCGCACAGGTCCACTCTTTCTGCGCTTCGCTAGTTATATTCGATCGAAACTTTATATATGCTTCGCCCACGACCAGAGCTCTTGGCAGACAGAGATCGTCGTCGTTATTTATCGCCACTATAGAGCGCTTGGTTGCTGTATTTATATCCATCGGCTGCCTTTTACGTCCGTATCCGTGAGGTACATCGATGAAAGTAGCGTTCAAATTGAAGGACTCGTCCACGTAAAACGATGTATTGGACTGTGTCAGACTCATGATCAAATCAACAAGATCTTTCACCACCAAATTTTTCAACGGTCGTATGGAGAGACCTGCGCTACCGTTTAAAAGATGTCTGCTACTTATACTGATGCCTACGCGAGAATTTTCCGATGCACTCGGCCCAGTAACATACGTAAAAATATCCTTTACAGCGAGTTCGAGCCAAGACAAAATGTCGCAGTCTTTTGCAGGTGGAAGGACCTTTATCGCTATTTCCTTCGTTCGCGCTTGAAATCTCCTCGAGAAAACTTCCGATTCTCCCTCGATTGCGAAACGTCGATTGCCCGAGCCTCCTACTTGCTGACTTATCGAACCACCTGCTTGCTGGCTTGTCGAGGGTTCTTGATGATCGACGTCTAATTAATAAAACGTGTCGTTAGCGAGCGTTAACAGATATACAAAACTACGATACGCTGAAACAATAATTTTAAACTCACTTTCGATATTCCTTTGCGCACTGGAAAAAATCCTTATAGCTCTGCCGGGGTCGACATCTTCTCCTTTAATCGAGTGAATTCGATGATGAAATATTTACTCGAATATTCACCAATAAAAAAAAAATTTACTTACCGATACGCGAGATGTAATCGTCTCTTAGTGCATTGGCGTGATGCAGGTGTATCAAACCTCGCCGCTTCAAAAAATTGTAGAATACAACGAGCACAGAATCGGACCTTTTAAAAAATTTATTATATATTTTCACGATCTTTCGCACACCGCACAGCGAAATCAGGCATGTAATTTCTCTTTTCAATTGATTTTCACTCATGACGGGCACTCGCCTACGCAACTCGTCTGTACCGTTATTTAAATAATGAGCAATTGTTAAAACAGCTCGTTTAAACTCGGAATGGTTTGACGCGCACATTTTTAACGAACAAAAAATGCAGAGTTCAGCTACAGAGGTGCTGCACAATACTGACGTCCTCATGGGTAAAAACGCTATTTATAATACAAGGAGAAGCGTTATCGCGCAAAAACCCTCTCCAAGCGTAAGTCTGTATCGTGCAAATTTTATCCTGCATGTATCAAATTCGCATATTGTTTATTTCTCATACGAACTCGAAACTTAATATTTACAGTGCCGCTTGCACGTTTTGCTATCCACCGTTCTCTTGCAAATCGACTCCTCCGTCTCTTATACTTCGATGCTTGATCCCTATGTTAATTTGATGCTTTCTATGATATTTACATTTGCAAGTTATCAGCGTAACAAAACATACATGACCAACAGTTTTTCAAGTCCACGATACTCAACGGTTTTTTCCAATGAAGCTATAGCTAAGTATATCTTAGCGACCAGACCACCGTTTTTACGATATGACTCCTTATACGTACATGGGTCTGCAGTAAGTCTCATATTCATTTTTTCCTCAGGCGAGATTTTACGATTTCGTGCAACGGCGTCTTTTAATAAACCAGCGTCGTGCGCCCTGTTTATGCGCCTTTGTCGACGATTTTCGAGTCGTCGAAAAATATTTCGTTGCTCATTTATTCTCGAACTACCACGGAGAAAACATGGCACAGTACAACTACTACACTACCTACGTTGACGCGCATGGCTTAAGCCTGCGTGTTTATAACGGTGGGGTAAGTGATTTATTTATCGTTATTAATCTCTTTGTTTTTAATGAAGTTAACATTTTATTTATTTTACAGGAGGATATGTACCCCTGCGAATTCATCGAGGGGTGCGTGGCTGCTCAAAAGGAGCGCCAGACAATTCTATTCCTAGGAAAAGAATTGAACAAGCTCAAGAGAGCTTACAAAATAAGGTAATTTTCATTTTTTATTTTAATAATTATTGAAATAAATATATAATATTATTTATCTGTTACAGGCATGGGGTAGAGTTCGTTGCGAACTTTAGCCCCGAAGTATTGGCTGGTCACTTGGACCATGTAAAATTAACTCAAAAGGAAAATGAGATACGCTCGCGTTGCCGGGCGTATTTCGATAGGTCAGTTTTTTTTCTTTTTTTATCTAAAATGACATACTAATGCCTTTCTTTTTATTTAACAGGTACGGCATTACATATGCCAAAAGCAAGGATGCCGTAGCGGAGGCACTTCTACGGCTGTAACGAAAATAAAAACATTTGTCTCGACTTAAAAAAGTGTACGAATAAAAAGTGTTGATAATAAATGTTTTAAGTGAAAGTGAATCATGTATTTTTTCATTTACCGGTGTATGTGAATCTCGTGGGTATGTGTTTGTGCGGGTATGCGCGTGTGCAAGGTACGGGTGCATGAATGTACGTTATCGTGTGCATGCGTGCATGCGTGCGTGATTTTTTTTTTACAGCGTGTGTGTGGGTGTGCGTGCGCGTGTACGTGTACGTGTGCGTGTGTGTGTGTGTGTGTACGTGTGCGTGCGTGTACGTGTGCGTGCGTGTGCGTGTACGTGTGCGTGCGTGTGCGTGTACGTGTGTGTGTGCGTGCGTGTGTGTACGTGTGCGTGCGTGTGTGTACGTGTGTGTGTGCGTGTACGTAGGCAGGCGCTGGCGCCAAGCGCGCTATAAGCCATCCTAAAAGGGAGGTAGAGTGCCCAGCTCGGGTCGACTTTTCCGGATTTTTTTTTTTACAGCTTGTGTGTGTACGTGTGCGTCGCACACACACGCACGCGCACGCACACCCACACACAGATTGTAAAGCTGCTCAGGCCTTCGGGAGTAACAACTGTTGAGTGGTGTTGTGGCTAAGGCACTTGCCTACCACCCGGGCGATCCGAGTTCGAATCCCAGCTCGGGTCGACTTTTTTCGGATTTTTTTTTACACTGTGTGTGTGTGTGTGTGGGTGTGCGTGTGCGTGTACGTGTGCGTGCGTGCGTGTGTGTACGTAAGCGTGCGTGTGTGTACGTGTGTGTGTGCATAGGCAGGCGCTGACGCCAAGCGCGCTATAAGCCCTCCTAAAAGGACGGTAGAGTGGGGGGAGCCTGTCTCTCTATGTCCCCCTATTACTACTCTTCTTCATAAAATTCGATATCACTTTGCAGTCTACAGTTTACACAGTCAGGTGAGGAGTTGAGATTTTTTCGTCACCTGCCCGTCTAGACTATATTTCTCTAAAAAATTATGATTTTTTGCTCGGACCGGGCTGAAACTTTAAGGGATGTCAGTTATATTGTCACTCATTCATGAAAAAATATGGTGCCTCAGGCGTCAGACTGTCCGGCCAAGCCGGAGGCGATCGCCCAGCACGATCGTTCGTCACTCGCCAGGTCGCTGCTGGCTGCCCTCAATGCAATGGTGACCACTACGTTGGTCACTGCTCTTCATTCACCAGCCTTGAGCCAAAGGAACGGAAAAGCGTAGTGCTGCGGCTCCATTTATGCTTCAATTGCCTGCGGCCTGGACCCCTGAACCTAGTAGCCGCAGTGCCAACAACGTATCTGCTCTGCCAATATTGCTACCCATTGCGCTCGTGCGCATCAGCGGCCCGCATCGACATATTATCATGGTGCGCTGTCTCTTAGATAATTGCTCGGAGGTATCTCTCATCGCCCATTCTCTGGCATCGAAGCTGCAGACCCCGGTTCAGGAGGTCACCACGGATATCACCGTCATCGGCGGCGACGTCGCCCAGCGGTCGCAACGCCGAGTCAGCCTCAACCTTCATTTGCCTGGTCAAAGGACGCCCATCATCATCGAGGCCAGTTGTCTTCGTCATCTCGGCATTACAACGCCATCACAACAACTGCCCCACGAGGCTGTCCCGGCGAGCATGCACGGCTCCTTGGCGGATCCAAACTTCTACCAGCCCGGAGCGGTGGACTTACTTCTTGGTGCCAACGTCATGCCCTATCTGATGAGAGAAGGCCTTCAGCATATCAACGGTCTCGTCGCCCAACGCACGTTGGTTGGATGGATAGTGTGGGGAGGTCTCCGGCAATCTCAGCCGACCGACTCATCTCAGTGCTTGACTCTGGCTGCTGAGGACATCGAGCCATCATGGCAGCAACAATTAGCTTCTTTGCTTCAGAGGTTCTGGGCAACTGAAGAGCTCCCTCGCGCCGAGCGAAGTTCGCCCATCGACAACTGGACCGAAAGTTTGTTCGCCCAACACCAGCGCAGTTCGACTGGTCGATACACTGTTAGACTTCCAATCCAGCCTGATGCAGCTCAATGCTTAGGCTCCAGTGAGAGCTCGGTGCGAGCCTCTCTCGACGCCCTTCACCGACGGATGACACGCTGTCCTCGTTTCGCCGAAGAATATCGATCATTCATGAAGACGTACATCGAGCTGGGCCACATGACTGAAATTCCGCGCCATCAAATTGAGTGCAGGCACCCGGCCTACTACATCCCGCACCACGGGATTTGGCAAGTCAGCGATAATGCACCCAGGCTACGGGTAGTCTTCGACACGTCTCGACCAACTTCGTCTGGTGTCAGCCTAAACGACGTGATGTGTCGGGGCCCCAAGCTCCAGAGGGACATTTGGCTAGTTCTTCTGCGTTGGCGGCAACATCGCATTGCATTTTGTACAGATGTTCAGATGATGTACCGTCAAATTCGCATTGACGAGCGCGATGTTGACTGGCAACGAACGCTGTGGAGTCCATGCGCTGCTGAGCCAACTCGACACTATCGGCTTAACACTGTCACATATGGCACGACTTGCGCACCCTACTTGGCTCTGCGCACCATCCAGCAATTGTGCACCGACGAGGGTGCTCAATTCCCTGCGGCCCAGCATGCGATTTTGAACGACCGATATGTAGATGATCATCCTGTCCTGTCGCTAATGATCCACATCTTCTCGAAGAGCTCGATGCCGACGACTGTCTGCGACCCGCTTGGGTGCTATTCACCGACGAAGACCAGGTCAAGGAGCTTGGAGTCGCGTGGAATCCGCAACGTGACACGCTCAGTCTTCGTCATGCCACCTCCAATTGGCCGGTCTGGCTCGAATTTACGATCCATGTGGATGGGTAGCGCCTGCGACTCTTCTCGCAAAAATGTTGGTACAAGACTTGTGGCGAGCTCACCTGGACTGGGATGATGAGCTGCCCGACAACGCGATCCGCGAGTGGACAGCTATTCGCCAGGGCCTCGACAGACTGCCAGAAGTCTCAATCCCCCGCTGGACACAACTGACGCCTATGTCGCCACCATTCACGTCTTTGCGGATGCCAGTCGACGAGCTATGGCCGCCCTCTCCCGTCACAGCGCGTGACGCCTTGTCGCGCATTTGCTCGCACGGGACTCGACTACGCCGGTCCATTTCAAGTCTGGTCGTCACGAGGGCGTGGTGTTCGCGCCACCAAGGCATGGGTCGCTGTGTTCGTGTGCATGACCACGAAGGCAGTTCACCTTGAACTGGCAGGGGACCTCTCCACTGCCAGCCTCCTTGGAGCTCTCACGAGATTCAGTGGGCGACGAGGCCGGCCGTCTGAAATATGGAGCGACAATGCCACCCACTTCCATCGGGCTGACCTCGAGATCCGCGAAGCACTGAACAACCCGAGACTCAACTGGACCACCGTATCCGACCGTCTCACTGAGCAAGGCATCAAGTGGAGCTTCATTCCACCCAGTGCTCCCCATTTCGGCGGCTTGTGGGAGGCCGCGGTCAAATCGTTCAAGGCCCACCTGAAGCGAACACTTGGCCCGCGACGAGTCACGTTCGAGGAGATGAGCACTCTCTTGGTGAGCATCGAGGCTGTGCTGAACAGTCGACCATTATGCCCCGTTACCAACCCAACGAGGCTGACGATCTGCACGTCCTGACTCCCGGACACTTCCTCGTCGGGACTCCATTGCTCGCTGTTCCAGAGCAAGATGTTGACATCGGCGCCATCGACCATCTCCACCATTGGCAACTCATCCAAGCGTTGCGAGCTGTCTTTTGGAAAAAGTGGAGCCGCGAATATCTCAATACGCTACAACAACGCACCAAGTGGACTCGACGCAGTAACTCGCTTGCCATCGGAGACCAAGGTCGAGATGGGCTGGTTCGCTCGGCAGTCATCAAGACGGCTCACGGAGTCTACACGCGCCCAATCGTTAGGCTTGTTCTTCTGCCCATCAAAGCCGAGTCTGCTCGCCACCCTGACCACGACGATGACGTCCCCTTGCATGGCGGGCGGCCCGTGTAATTTGGAGTCGTTCCAGGAACGAGGCGGGGGCGGTGTTTCGAACGAGAGCTGAGTCAAATAGTTCACGGGTCGTTGGTCCCGACTCGAGCGCTGCGCGTCTCCCACTCCGCGCTTCGGAGCAAGTCGACACTCTCGCTAAAGTGCTCGGAGCGCGAACATCGCCTGCACCGAATCTCTTCACGCATCGCGTGAACCAGCTTTTTTGTACACCTTTTTTAAGTAATCCAGGTTTTTGTCCACGTAAACGTGATTGTATTAAACCAAGAAAAATAAAGAGTTTGTCTCAACCTGAGCCACCTGCGTCTGCGCCTTTTTTTCTTCTTCTCCTTCAAGCCGTCTCCTCAACAATATCATTTCTGTAATTTAAGAGGGATTCGAATGAAATTTGTACAGTAATTTTGACACAATGAGATAGAGCAACCCAGAAAATTTCAGTTCCAAGCATGGAAAAATGACCATTTAGATAAAAAAATTATATTTTCCGTTTGTATCGCAAAGCCAATTTTGATTCAAAGTTTTTTTCATGTCATTTCTGTATTTTTGGAGGGATTCAATTGAAATTAATACAGTAGTTTAAAATCAATGTGTTTTGTCAACACAGAACATTTCAGATCTATGCATAGAAAGTTGAACAAGTAAATTATTCATTGCTATCCGACCATAAAAGTTTAAAATTTAAAATTAAAGGAAGGCTCTTTTAGTGAAATTGAGGAAGTCGAGGTTTTTTTAACATTATTTATCTTTTATTTTAATTATATATATAATGTACATCAGAACAATGTTATACATAATAAAATATTTGCAAATATGCAAATTACGGATGTTGTCCTGATGTTTTATTCGCAACGCTCAAGCAAATACGCAACAAATTTTTGTTATTGAGCCGCTTGATGATCATGTCACTGCAGAGAATTGGAAGCTGCCATCGTGTCAGCTTCAAGAAAGAGTCCAACGCCAAACGCCGAATAAACACCTTCGATAATTTTTCGCACAAGTGCATAAAACAATCATGTGGTGCGATGGCCCAGAGCTCGTTGAAAAATGAGTCCGATGTCATTAACAAGTAGTAGTCCTTATACGTGAGTAATTTTGCAGACTCTTCTGGTCGTAAATGAATCAAATCGTACAGCGACAGACTTGACTTTATCATGAGTTTTTTTGCATCTTTTTCGAACCTCACGTCGTCGTACCGATATTCATCGGAACATTCTGATTCGAATCCTCCGTATTTTGCCAAAAATTTCACGATTGTCAGGATGCCGCTTTGGTCTAGTTGGAATTGTCTTTTCTCAAGAGCCTCGACAACAGCCATAATTGCAGTCACTATTTTCAATCGAGTATCCAGCTCAAAGGCCTCATTTTTCATTTCCTCCTCGAAGCAACTCACAGAAGGAAAAACGAAGCAAGACAGATCAGCACCATGATTCAAAAGTATTTCGACTTGATCAGGCGAAAAATTCGCCACAGCTAATTGCAAAGGTGTCCGGCCAAACTTATCCCGGGCGTCGATCTGAACCAGCTGATTGATTTCTTTGGTGATTTTGAAAAATATCTCCAATAAGTCATCCTCGTGGTATCCCTTATAAATGATAATGTCGTGCAGAGGAGTAAATCCTATGGTATCGGCTAAATTCGGATTGGCGCCTCGTCTCAACAGTAATTCAAATACTTCTATTTTGTTGTTGCTCAGAGCCAAGTACAGCGGCGAATTACCCGTTTCTGATGTCAAGAGATTCGGATTCTGTCCGAAATCGAGGAATTTCTCGACAATGTCTTTAAGACCATACTCACAGGCCACATGAAAATGCGTAAGACCGGACTCGTTCGTGTAATTGACGTCAAACCTGTCGTATATTTTAAAAAGATCCTCGACGATGTATAGTCTATAATCCCCAGACGCACGATGTACTGCTGTGGTGCGGCGAAGAAGTGGCTTGTCGTCTTCATAGAGGTCAGGCTCGTCTTTGTAACCCGTCATGATAACAAAATTGACGACGTGTCCTGAATAACGAGTGTCATCGTCAGAATCTTTCTCAGACTCCTTCAGAAGCCAATCGATAGCTTTGGGCTGAAAAATATCTCTGAGATTCGGTATTTGGTCATCATAATCGCTGATCAAGCGATAAACTTGACGAAGAAATTTATGATTCTTTTCGTCGATCATCCAATTGACTTTTTCTGTGGTCATTGTTTTATACTGCAACGTATGCGACCTTTCGCGCCTGGTAAGATGGCAACTATGCCAGCTGAGCACGCATGTGTAAGCGAGTACTCGCCGAGCGCGAGAGGAGAGGTGAATCGACGCACTCGCGTTTCCCCTCGCGTCAACAGATTCGCGTTTAAAAGACCATCTTGCAGGTCCCCACGCAGACTGCACGAGAGACGCGGCCGCAGCGACGCAATGAGAGAGCGGTCCAGCGACCCCCATCCAGCCTCCTGGGAGACAATGAGCGCGGAGAGAGAATCTTCGATCTCTCTCTTTCTTATCAGATAATAGACACGCGTGGCAAATTTCCGAAAATGAGTGGGAATTTTGCCGGCGCGACGATGCGAGAGAGCGCATTTCGAGCGCTCGAACTGGGCCTATTTAAAGAGCTGCACTGGCCTAATTGAGTTTAGTTTTTGATAATTGAATAATACTTAACCACAGTAATTATTCATTATCAAATTTTCTTAGCCATTTACCACTTGGTGGCTAAGAATACTTAATAACCTATCCTAAACGATAATTCACCGCTGCCACTGACCCAGTGTCCGAGTGCGTGAATCGTGCGTCAAGGCCTTATACACCGTTCGACTGTGGGAACATACCCCCGGGTATTCGATCCCAATTACACAGGTCAAAGGGTATAAGACTAGCGCGGATGAATCTTATTAAAAAATAAGAACATCCTTCCTTTCCTTCCTCTCATCAAATCATAAGTCGCGAGTTATAGTGTTTCTTTTCGCATCCTCTTTGTGGTTTTTGTGCGCGTATTGTAGGTTTTGGTTCAGCTTCAACGTATCTACAACTAACCAGCAACTCCAACGTACGTGTGGTGTGAGGGACAGCCCAGCAGAGCCAAGCAGCAGTAGCAGAGCCCAGCAGCAGCAGCAGCACGCAGTTTATACAAAACTAAATATCGGTAACGATCATCTTGTTAACCCGGGTTAGCCGAAATTATTCCGTGGTCGCAAAGTCGATTCACACTGTATGCCGTTTGCTCAAACTCTGCGTGTATAAAAAAGGCGACGTGTCTAATTAATATTCTTGATTGTACTTCAATTTATTGTATAATTGAAAGTCAAGTTTACAGATTTATTCTCTTAGTAAATAAAATAAAATATCTCATTAATGTTTCTGACATTGAATAAAAATACAACAAATTTATAATACAAATTCGTCCCAGAAGACTCGAACTCAATTCTGCACGCACCTATCAAATTCTTAGACTCATTTTCAGGCGCGTCAGAGGTCAAATAAGAGACCTACCGTGGCTCGAATTATAGCAACGGCGGTAAGTCTATTAAATTGCCGAGTAGCATCTCGGACAAAATTCACATTGGTAAGACGTAAAGACGGACAGGCAACAATTGCTCGCGAAGCAATTGAAGCAGTAATTCTCATTTACGCGCGCGCGTCGTGTGATCGTACCCCTCTCACTCGCTCGTCGAGTACGCATAATAGGGTTATGCACTCACTCGCACGCGCTGAAGAGCCAACAACGTTGCAATACACCAGTCCAAACAAGAACGCGCTTTCACTACTTTCACGTAAATCAACACACGTTACGACGCCAGAGCAGCTGCCGAGAAAATGCCGATGACGAGCATGGGAGCGAGAGTGAGTTTTTCTGTAATAAAATAAATAAACATTTTACTATATGAAAAAAAAAGAATCAAGAAAATAATTGGAGTTGACAGC